ATATACTTTTATATTGAGTTTAGGTTCTAAATAATTAAATTAGAGCTTACTTCAAAACATTCATTCGAATAGGTTGTTTCGATATCTAAATATCATCAAATTGATCATCTCAATATCAAGATCCATGAATATAAGAAAAAAATGAATTTCAATTTTTAGAAATAGGGCATCTTGTAATGTATTTTTCGACTATCAATTTTTAAGATTTTCATAGATCTAATCGATTTATACTATTTTTTAAGCTTTAAATTTTATAACTAAAGATGAAAATATAATTTAAGCTTATCACAAAACTTTGTGGCATTGAAACTATATTTTTCAACATTATTTGAAGATGGGCTCAAATTTGATTGTTTTAATCGGCACTATTTGGTGGGTATTTTGGTCATTTTATTTTTCACGAATGATTTTTTTAATATTTTTATTAGGTGCACTTTGATGAGAAGAATACACTTAAAATTTTAAGTGATTTGGATTTATAGAAAAATAAAATAAAATTCAAGCACTATCGGACATTTGTGATCATCAGATCGGTTCAGATTCAATGTGAGCCGTTGGGTTCATATGTTTATATGAGCTAGTAGGCTAACATCATGCCGTTCGAAAAAATCGGTTGGCGCCAAGTTTATGGGCGAAAATACTGTTCATTTTTGCCATAGGCATTGCGTATAATGGTTGTATCATAGTATAATGCAACCACACTTCTAGAAAACCATGTTTGTGGTTTTTGTATGACTCAAAATTTTGCGTACACACTCTCATCTCAGTAATCAATATAAAATTATATAATAATAATTTGCACCCTATATATGGTCAAAATGAGTCCCCTCCAATAATAAATCTAGACCTTCTATTTGATAAATTTCAAGATCTAGGCTTTTATGAATTCAAAATCATTTTTGTCTTTTTTTAATATTGTTAATCTAATGACAATAAAGTTATTTAAAAAATTTGGAAACGAAAAAGATTATTCTAATACCTAGACCTAAGCATCTTACCAAAATAGATTGCTTAGGTTAATTGGGCTAAAAAAATACTTTTTAGATTGTGTTTTCAAAATTTTATCTTTTTGTCATTGTTCATTAGAATAAAAAAAGTGTATATTTTTAAATTTGGATCAAATAAATGGCCCTAACATGGTTTTTGAAGATTGTTGTATTATGTTATTATACAACTATTGCATGAAAAGAAAAGCTAGGTTGTCCCACTAGCTAACTCTATAGTATTAGCCCAATGGTCCAGATTGAATCTGGGCCGATACGACGGTCACGATTTCATTTTGTATGTGAATTTTAATTTTTTTTTATAATCGAAATCTCTTGAAATTTTGAGTCTCTATTATTTAAAAATATCATAAAAAATAAATTTTAATATATTTCATATTCAAATCCAAATTATATGAAATTTTAGGCATCTATTCTTCTCATTAAGGCATACTTAATAAAATTTTCAAAATATAAATTGATCAAAATACCCTTGTCCCCTGAAATATTTTAGGGGTATTTTGATCAATTTATTTTTTGAAAATGATTTTTTTTATATTTTTATTGGATTTTCTTATTTTTAAAGAATAGACATTCAAAATTTTAAGTGATTTGGATTTATGTTATAAATATTAAAATTATATTAGAAAATGAGGTTGTGATCGTCAGATCGGTCTAGATTCAATCAGGGTCATTGGATTAACATTATAATTGTTAGTTAGTGGACTACCAATGGGTTATACCTATAATGAATAGTACCATAGGGTAACTCCCTTCCATGAGATCATGATTAGATGTTTTAAATGTATGTCACAATTTAAATTTTAATATGTTTTCTATAAAATTATTTATACTAAAATTTTAGGTATATGTACTTAACACATTATGGATCTATAGAAATAAAAACAAATCCAAATTTTAAAATGACAAAAATACCCATGAAAATAATAGAGATAATTTGATCAGTTTAAAGTTTGGGAAATATTTGTTTTATATGTGAGACCTGTTATGTAATACACATCTCAATTATGTATGATTATGAAAAAAAAGGATTATGAAAATTTTATTAGGTGTGCCTTAATGAGAAGAATAGATGTCTAAAATTTTATATAATTTGGGTTTGAATATGAAAAATATTAAAATTTATTTTTTGTGATATTTTTAAAGAATAGAGGCTCAAAATTTCAAGAGATTTCAATTATAAAAAAAAATTAAAATTCACATACAAAATGAAATCGTGACCGTCGTATCGCCCCAGATTCAATCTGGACCATTGGGCTAATACTATATAGTTAGCTAGTGGGACAACCTAGCTTTTCTTTTCATGTAACAGTTGTATAATAACATAATACAGTAATCTTCAAAAACCATGTTAGGGCCATTTATTTGATCCAAATTTAAAAATATATACTTTTTTTATTCTAATGAACAATGACAAAAAGAAAAATTTGAAAACACAATCTAGAAAGTGTTTTTTTAGCCCAATTAACATAAGCAATCTATTTTGGTAAGATGCTTAGGTCTAGGTATTAGAATAATCTTTTTCGTTTCCAAATTTTTTAGATAACTTTATTGTTATTAGATTAACAATATTAAAAAAAGACAAAAATGATTTTGAATTCATAAAGGCCTAGATCTTGAAATTCATTAAATAGAAGGTCTAGATTTATTGTTGGAGGGGACTCATTTTGACCATATATAGGGTGCAAATTATTATTATATAATTTTATATTGATTACTGAGATGAGAGTGTGTACGCAAAATTTTGAGTGATACAAAAACCACAAACATGGTTTTCTAGAAGTGTGGTTGCATTATACTATGATACAACCATTATATGCAATGCCTATGGGCAAAAATGAACAGTATTTTCGCCTGTAGGCTTGGTGCCAACCGATTTTTTCGAACGGCATAATGTTACCCCACTAGCTCATATAAACATATGAGCCCAACGGCCCATATTGAATTTGGGCCGATCTGATGATTACAGATG